ATACATAAAAACCGATTTATATTCAGATATCTATTAAATACCAATGATTGACAGCATACCTTAGCTGTTTATCTTTGATATTCTAGAATGTACTGGCCCCATTTTTTTAAAACTGCATGCCTCATAAATTTGGAACAAAATGCAATTCATATTGATAGCTTTATGTGTATTTTGTACACATACAAGTGGATTTACATACGAAGAAATAACAACATATACCTGACTTTAGGAAAATAACTGTTTTTTGTAATACTACTGTGTCAATCAGGATAGGCCACTGCAACAAACCATGCTGAAATTACAGTGACTGACCATGGGAAAAGTTGTTTTCTTAGCCTGTGTCACAGTAGAGGACATGCTTGAGAGACTTTGCGCATGCCTTGACCTGGGGCCAGCCTCCATCTGCTTGGGGCGCCATCTTCCTCCAAGCCCCAGAGCCCCTCTTTATTCCATGGGCTCATGGGAAAGGAGCACATCGAGATCCTATGAGAGTTTTGTGAGCCAGGCCCAGGGTGGCCCAAATCCCATCCACCACATTTCACCAGCTGAAACCAGTCACATGGCCCCATCTAACTGGCAGGCAGCTGGGAAATGTAGTTTTGTGCCCAGTAAACCTAGACATGGGTTTCATGAGTGCTCAACCTTCTCTTCCACATTCATGAAGTTCCAATATATGAAGCCACAGGTATTTGGTCATTTTTAACTTCAAAAAATGGAAATTTCATTGTCCATAATACAACCAGGTATTAAAGTAGAAATATTATTGAGTTAGTGATGGGAAAGCTGGCAAGTGGACATGGAATTGTGGCAAAGGGCACGTGCTAGAAGAGGATGCTGAGAAAATAATCCAGTTCATTTTCTAACATTATGTTGGACTGTCATTTGAAAACTCTGTATAGAGATAAAAGTGAAAGATTTTTCTGCGCAGTTATTAAAATTTTTACAAAATAATGTGCTCTGCTATTACTGCTTTTGTGGTGCTGTTACTGGTTTGTTGTGTGGTGGATTCCTTCCCTCCCCAGGATTATATTGTTTCATCTTAAACATAAATATTTTAGTAATTAACTTTCTTTTTATGTATAATTTTAAATAGTTGCATATGTGCATTTTTTAAAAACTGGCAATGTAGAACATAGAACTGGATTCTTGGTGTAATAAATCAGTTCCTCTGGCATCTACAAATCAGCAAGTTAATTATTAGCAATTCTATTTACTAATGATTTTCCCCTTTAAACTATTTTTCCATTTTCATGGCCAGATGTGCACTTTGATGACTAAAACAGCAAAGTCCCTGTTGTGGCTGGTTCTTTGAAGCAGTCTCTCAAAATGGGGTGAATATGTAGACCTCACACTCCTTAATTAAAAGGCATGTTGCTCATTTACAAACTCAGGCTTTTCAGATGGTTTTTCCTACAGCACTGACGCACTCTTCATGGTCTCCTTTAGGAAATATGCACAGAACATGTTACTGCATTCCCAGAGCAGCCACAGGCTGTACTGGCGTTTTTCTGAGTTGTGTAGTTGTCTATCAGAATCCATTTTATAGTTCTCACTCATAAGTTGATTCTTAAACAACTATCGTTTGCTCCTTTTAAAAAAATGAGAATAAGGCTGTATTTGATGACAAATTGCTGACATCTTCCAAAAGAACTGTGATACTAAGCTGCAGTTGTGACTGGGGAAGGAATTCCTAGGAATGGATAAGAAATCTTACTTTATTCACAATTTTTCGATGGTCCAAGTGTTAGTCGTTAACACTTTGGACAGTTTTATAAATGACACCACGCAATGTCAAAAATGGTAACTTGGGAGAAATTAATACACCTCAGATTTCTCAGTTTCACCTTTTCACCTAAAGGCACGCATATGAAAGTAATAAGGCTGGAGAAAAAGAGGATTTCTCTGGAGAGTTCTGGTAACGTGCAAACAGTATGAATTTCATCTTCTGGTAACTTTCTCCTGTTAGTTAACCCCAGGCAGTATTCTTTGCAGTCCAAACTAATTGGTTTTGACCAGTACATATGAAATAGGTTTGGCCACCTGTACCAGAGACGCTGGGCTGGCTTCTAATTAGGCTTTTTAAAAATATCATATTTCAACAAATTTCCTTTGTTTTTGTGTAACTTCACATACAACCAGTTCATCAATCTTGTTTAAGTTTATTGAACTCACACTACTTCTATGGAAGCTGTGGTGTACACTGCAAAATCCTTGATCTTTCCTGCTGCTTGTATTTGAAATCCTTCTATAACTCTCCAGAGCCTTCGGGATGGAGAAAATGTTTGCATGGACACAGGCCTTTTCTTTCTGACTTCTGATGTCCTCCCTGCTCTTCTCCTTCTAGCTTTCCCTTCCCTCCTCTGCTCCAAAAACTGCCCCTGTATATGTTCCAGTCTGCAGGCCACCAACTCCATGTTCTCAGTGGCTGCATACCATTTTCTCTCCGCACCGCCTATTTTCTCTGCCTGAGACATCTTCTCCACCATGCAGGCTCCTCTCACTTCACCCGGGTGACTCCCACCCATTACCAGGTTCATATAGGCCCGCATTTTCTCTAGAAAACTCCTCCACACCCATCCCAACCCAGTAATTCTTATGCCTTCCCCTGGCTCTGAGAACTTACCCCTCTTGTAGGGTTCAGATGTTGGAGTATAATTATGTTTACTTACCCGTCTTTGCCCCTAAATTCTATGTTCTTTGTAGACAGGGGTTGTTCTCATACAAACCCTACAGTCTCAGGACCTAGTACAGTACCTGGCATGTGTAATTACCTAATATGCAGATTTGATTATGACAAATGGCTGCATTACTTCTCTGTCAAAGCTTCTCAGGCCTGGCAATGTAGCTCAGGGGTGGAATGCCTGACTGGTATGATCAAGGCTTTGTATTCAACACTCAACACTGCAGGGGCTGGGGATTTAGCTCAGTGGCAAAAGCGCCTGCCTGGCAAGCGCAAGGTCGTGAGTTCGGTTCCTGGTACCGGAGAAAAACCAAAACCAAAAAAAAAAAAAAAAAGCACTCAACACTGCAGAAAGGAGGGAGGGGGGAGCAAGGGAGGGTAGGAATGAGAGAAGGAAAGAAAGAAAGAAAGAAAGAAAGAAAGAAAGAAAGAAAGAGCTAGCCACATAAAACACTATAATGACCCCTGCCACGCTGTTCTATGCTGTAGAGCATGTTTTCTGTGTACCTAAGTCACTGCTTGGAGCACAGAAAATGCTCAATAATTTTTCACTCGAAAGTAGTGGTACTTGATGGAAGACTATCTTGCCTTGCAGAGGACATTTGGCAATGTCTAGAGACAGTTTTGATTTTCAGAACCAGAAGGATATACGCTACTGGCACCTAGAGAGGCCAGAGATATTGCTAAATGTCCTACAATGCATAGGCCAGCCCTCAAGGACCAAGAATTGCCCAGCCAAAATGTCCTATAGAGCTTGAAAACCCTATTCTGAGTGCTTGAGTGAATATCTACAAATTCTATTTTAAAATGGAAAAAGGCTCCTTTAAGAAGAAGCAAAGAACAAATTCCTTCTTATATTTTGAAGTTAATGAACTGTCCCAAGCCGTGTCTTCACAGTTCTCCACTGAGCCACTAAGTTCATGAGAGAGGATAACAGTGAAGGAAACCTACAAGGTCATTTCACTGTCTGACCCTGGCTAAGATATTATTAACTAGCTGCAGAAAGCACATGGTAAAATGTACATTCCTTGTCTGTTAAAAAGCCTGGGGACCATTTTTACAGTATATTTAATATACAGTAGGAATAGCAAATACAGCCTTCCATAAAATACACGACACAAGTCTTGGCTTCCAGTGTGACAGCAACCCAATCCAACACCAAGACAGTAAGGTGCTTCAGCCCCCACTCTTACTTAGCACGTTTGCTGGGGGCTGGTGGGCTCCCTCTATCAAGCCTCTAGATCAGGGGTGTGGGCAAGCTACCACCCCCAGCCAAGACTGGGTGGCCCCATTTTTACACAACCTATGAGCTAAAACCAGTTTTTAGATTTTTAAATGGTTGACCATGAATCAAAACACTACTACGTCATGACACATGAAAAGCCTATTAGACTGGAATTTCAGTGTCCATAAATAAAGTTTATTGGAATAGTCATGCTCACCTGTTTGCTGTTGCCTGTGACTGCTTTTAGCTGAGGACAGAGCAAAGCCTAAAATATTTACCATTTGGCCACTTACGGAAAACCTTAGCCAACTCCAGCCTGATAGTTAAAGAGTTTAGCAAATTGTGTTTCCAGGAGGCGGTGTGGGAGGAGAAGGCTCCCCAGGCTGGAATCTCCCACAGCTGGCTGTGCTACGGCTGTGGCTGCGACTCCAAGGGGCTTGCTTTCTTCCTGGGGAACACGAGAGGGCTTGGCGCTGTAGGATCCCTGGAGTGCGGTGGTTCTAGTCTGCTCAGTGAGGTGAAGTGTGGAGCTCTTGTCTTGGCCAAAGCCACATAGCCGGCAAGTCACCAGATTAAAAAAATATAAATTTTGGGTCACTTTCATGTGCCCTAGCTCTTTTTTTTTTCTTAATTTGTAGTACTGCAGATTGAACACAGGGGGTCCTTGGGAAGTACATCGCCCTCCTCTTTTTGCTTTTAATTTTTCTTTTGACACAGGGTCTTGCTAAGTTGCTGAGTTAACCAGGCTGGGCTCAAACTTGTAATCCTCCTGCCTCAGCCTCTCAGAGTGCTGGGATCACAGTCATGCATCACCATGCCTGGGGGTCACATGTCCCAGCTTTACTGGTCATGTAACCCAGTTGTTTTAACCCTGGGTAAAGGAAATGGACAAACTATTGAGGAAAGCTGGCAAGGGATGGCTGCCGAGGCTGCCAACCTCACAATTCAGGCTTTCGAACAGGAATTTAGCACTTACTTCAGGTCTGTTGAAATTAACCAGGCATTTGACATCTGTCCAGTTCCTGTAGCAGCAGGGCAGAGTCTCCACTGCCATTTCTGTTTCCTCAATACTGATGTGTGATTCTTTCTCCACAGTCCGAGGGATCACGGGTTGTTGGCGTTGGCACGCCAGCCTGGGCTCTGTCTCTATGGAGCGAAATTGGCCTGCTGCTACGGCTGGAGAAGGAACATCAAGGGAGTCTGTGAAGGTAATTTTTGCAAAAACTTGGAGCACCTTGCACTCAGCTCAGGATCCCCACGGCTTTATCTGTGGAAAACTACCGATCCCCCCCGGTCTCAGTTGTGGCAAGACCTCTCCCAACCAGACTGGCTGATACCCTCACAGTAGCCATGATTTATCTTAGAAGACTGAATGTCACTTACCTTTGTTATGATCTTAGTAAGTATAACTGGGTTGTTTGTTTTTCTCTTCGCTTTTCTTAATCTAGAGAAACTGAGATGGGCAAAAACAAACCGATTAATTCCTTCTTCTAATTGTGGTTTTTCTCAACTGATTTCAAATGAAATATACATTTTAATTATTAATCAGCCAATCAGTAAGCTTTGACCATGAAAAAGTAAACCTATGGATTGGCTACTCACATTTTTAAAATTCATAAGGCTGGCTTCTAGATGATAGTGAGAAACACATGCATATAAGCAAAGGTTTTAATTCTTCTTCCAATTCTTTTGTACAAATTGCAAACTAAAGAACCATTTTCTGCCTTGGGACTCTAACAGTAGGCTCCAATAATTTCAAGAAAGCTGGAAAGGACAGAGATGAGCATAGAGTTGCACCTTGTTTTGTTTTTCTATCTGATTTTCCATAATGACCAACAGCTGCAATGTAAAGGAGTCAAATTTGCATCCGTCCTAGGTGACTCTCTGCTGCTCGCTTTCGCAGCACAGATACTAGATGACCCTCTGAACAGAGGCACATTCCTTCAGGGTCAGAGCCTAGCCCCATTGTCCCTGTCTCCCTAGCAGGTGGCAAATGCCCAAACCTCAGTCCCTTATCTGCTAAGTGGGACAAGATAATTACATGGCCCATAAAAGTATTTAAAAAGAGAGAGAGAATGGAAGGAAAAGGTGAACTAGTTTTAGGAATAAAAATGCTACCTTCTTTTGCTGCCTGCAATGCTCCCCCTCTCTAGCTGGTCCAAAAATATCTGGATTAACCATGGAAGAAGGCAGAACTAGACAAAATCTGACATCCATGAGACAATGGAAGCCACTGATGCTCCTTCCTCATGTTCACGGCAGTTCCCTTGGAATGAGATGGTAAAAGTGTGAAGATGCTAGAAAAGTTAAGCTGGGCATGGTAGTGCATGCTTGTAATCCCAGCACTTGAGAAGCTGAGGCAGGAGGATCACCGTGAATTCGAGGCCAGCCTGGGATACAATGTGAGTTCAAGGTCAGATTGAACTACAGAGCGAGACCCTGTCTCAAAAAGACAAAGAAAAATTTCACCATTACCTGTTCAGATAAAGTTAGAGCACCCTTCTGGGAACTGTGTCAATGAAATGGGTGGATGGATCCTCCCCTTGGTTGGATTTATAATAGTGTCGCAATCAATGGCATTGTCAACTAGACTGACTGATGGTGAGTGACCTTGGGCAAGGTAAATAGCTCACTAAATCTCCATTTCCTCCCCTGCCACATGGAGGGAGAAGTACCTACTTCAAAGGGTACAGCATATAAGCATTAAAGAGTGTGCTTATGACCTGGCACACATAGAAAATACCTCATAAATTACTATTTAGTCAGAAGGGACTAATGATTCTCATCACAGACTTCGTTCTGTTCTTTAAAGTACCAAGTGATGGGGGGATTAAATGTGGCTTTATTTTTTTTTCTAGACAACATAACATATTTTTATTTGAAGTCAGTCAGGTGGAAAGGGGAAAGAGCCACGTGAAACATATGATTTACAGCCTCTCTTACAGTTGCTTGAACACCAGTGCCGATGCCATAAAACTTGTAAGGCCTGGCGTGCCACGGGTGCATAAATGAGGGCAAGCTTGGGCTTTCTGGAAGGGCTATTCTTTAACTAGATCAGGGTAGTGTGGCTGCCGTATGCACAGCCAATCACATCCTCAATGCCTTCGTGAATATATATACACAGGCATGAAAGAATGTGAAGCAAGGCTTTAAAAGGTCAGGTGTAGAGAATTTAAGGAAAATGTTCAATATGCAAGCATTGCAAGCTGAAAAGATCACTGGCACCTCTACTGCCTCGGCCAAATATTTAAATTTTAAATTGCATAAGTTTTATATCTAAAGTATGTGTCATATTTTATTCAATTTGCACGGTCCTTCTGCTTGGTAAAATTGTATGTCTATTTATTTCTTACTTTCTTTCTTTCTTTTTGCTTTTTGGGTTTTTGAGACAAGGTCTCAGTCTGTAGGCCAGGTTGGCCTTGAACTCACAGTGATCTTCCTGCCTCAGTCTCTGGAGTGCTGGGGTTACAGGCGTGTGTCACCATGCCCGGCTAAGGACATATGTTTCTTGAAGAACCTAATAACGAGGGTCATTAGTCCCTGAGTGCTGAGTTTCTGATTTCTTAGTGAGTGTGTGGGCCACATAGGTGGGAGAATACACATCAACCTGGCCAAACAAGCCAAGCCAGACCAGGGCTGGGAGACCCCAGTCTGCACAGGCCTTCTCTTCTATCCATCTATTTACCCACTGTTTCTCTCAATCCCCTGCTTCTATGAGTGCCGGAGTTTTCCAGCCCTTGGGCTCTGCCCTGTCTAAATCTGTTCCCAAGACGGGGGTCTGTATCAACTCCACATCATTAACCTTAAAACATATGTCACATTAGTGAGAGGGAATAAAGAGTTGCCCACAAACAAATCCCTGCTGAAAAACTACAGATGGAGAAGATTTGGGAAGAACAGAGCAAAAAAGTTGCACTTTGTGGGAAGCATACTTCAATCTCTGGCCAGTTTGGACCCAGACTGAATTTCCCTTTGCTGTGGATTGGCTGTTCAAGTCATAGATCCAAAGTTACTGTAAATTGAAAACATCTTTCTGAATCTTTGACCTTAGAGCAAGGGTATTATTCACCATTTCTCCTATGTGCTATTTGGCATTTATCCTGGGCTTTCCTGTCTCTATCACACTGGAAGTCAGTTTCCAGGGAATAATCAGAGCTCTTCAGGGCTTAAAAAAATAAAAGATTTATTTTTCTAACATCTGAACTGAAAACTGCATCACCAAGTGGTACATATCCATAACAAAATAGACACTGTAAGTGGGGATCTATCTCTTCTGTCTCTAAAAGTGGAAAAACTTTGTTGAGAAGCATTTTTCCCTACCTTCTCAGTTATGATTTATCCAGGGCCCTAAAATCTTCCCCTGAAAGTGAAAGTTCCATACCTACTTATTCATTACTCCAAAATATTTGTATATACTCTGTAGCATGTTCATAGTACTATATTAAATGCTGCAGGAAAAACAATGATGAATGTCAGGTCCCTGTTCTAAAGGCACTTAGAATCAAGGCATAGGGAGAAGTTAAGAATAGAAGCAAAGTAATATCTAACTTTTTAATAAGACAAATTGCACTGGTCTATTTTACTGTGGAGTTCTCAAAGTTGGGTGGAAATTCATATGTGGCTGGAGAAATCTGCGAAGCTCTGGAAGGTATCCTTTGAATGATGAGTAGGATACGAACAACTGGAGGGTGGGGAAGGGGTTCCCCAGGGAGCGGTAAAATCGAAAGAGGCTGAAAGCAAAGGGTAGGTCTAGAGAACTTTGGCCACAGTGTTGGCTTTACATCCAAGAAACAGTGGAAACTCAAGCCAGAAAAGAAGATGAAGGCCAGATCATGGTGGATTTGACTTGGTTCTACATCCATCCTGTTTGCAGGAGTCAACAGATCAAGTGAGGACTTTGCAGGACATGTGACATGATCAGAGCTGTGTTCTAGGACCCTTGAATGTTGCATCTTATGTCAGATTTCCTAGAGGCAGGGCCTGAAAAGGAGATTCTTGAGCAAAGATTCCACTGCGGACTGCTCTTAGAAGAAAACTGGAAGTGAGGAAAGGAGCAGGAGAAGAAACAGGCAGAGATACGGTTTCAAGAGAAGTCAAGCTTCCTCCCGGTCCTGCCCAGAACTGTGGGTATTAATTGCACAGGAGGCCGGCCTGCCCAGAAACAAGGAGCTGGCCTTTTGGACCCTGCCTCAGTGAGGCACCGGTCACAGGCAGTGGAGGGAAAAGCAAGGAGAGAAGCAGGCTCAGCATAATGTCCCAGACACCAGGGGACAAGGCGGTTTCTATTAACGAGATAAACATTTGTTCAGAGGATCAATTGGTGTTAGAAACAGGGATAGAGTGCTGTAACTGAATGATTTGGGGACAGGAAAAAATACAGATTACTGAGATTCTGAGAAGAGGAAACTTGGAGAAGATTGGTGACATTCACAACAACAACAAAAAATAAAGTCTGAGGTTAAAGGCTTTCGGAACAGCCTTGCTGAGAGGTGGGCCTACTCGGCCAGGGAGCAGAAGGGCAGAGAATGCACAGCACTCCTGGGCAACTGCTGGGGGACCCTTTCCTGAGCTCCTGCTAGGCCCAGAAATTGCTGAGAGCCTGCAGTATTCTCTGTGCCTCCTTTCCCTCTCATTCATCATTTATCTCCTTCTCCACTTCTTCTTTTAGGGTTTTCGCATTTTTCTTTCTTTTACTTTCCTGTCTGCTGCTTTTTCTTCCCCATCTTTTCCTTGTGAGGCAGACTCATACAGGCATCATCTCTGACTATAATTTTCTTCTTTCTAGGCCATTCCTCCTGGTATTCTATAGCCCTTTCTTCCCAGTATACTCTAGCCCATTCTCCCCAGTATTCTCTAGCTCATATTTCCCCAGTACTCTCTAGCAATTCCTACCAGTACTCTCAAGGCCATTCCAACCCAACTTATCTCTAGCCCATTTCTCCTAGTATTGTTTTGTGTTTTGAGACAGGGTCTCACTATGTAGTTCAGGCTGCCCTTGAGCTCTTTATGTAGCCCAGGCTGGCCTCAAACTCCTGGTGATCCTCCTGCCTCAGCCTCCCAAGTACTGGGATTACAGGCATGCACCACCGCTCCTGGCTTATTTTTTTTCTTGTCCCCAATTCAATCAGTTACATTCTATCCTGGTTATTTCTCCTACTACTTTATGCACTGAACAAACATTGATCAAGTGCCTACTTTGTGTGAGGTGTTGCAATGTGGAAGTGAATAACAAAGAAAAGCAAATCCTCCTTTTATCATGCTACCTCATGATATCACCATCTCCTCCTCCGCTGCCGCCGCCACCTCCTCCTCCTCCTCTTCTTCTTCTTCTTCTTTTCTTCTTTTTCTTGTTCTCTTCCTTCTCCTTCTCCTTCTCCTTCTCCTTCTCCTTCTCCTTCTCCTTCTCCTTCTCCTTCTCCTTCTCCTTCATCATCATCAACATGCTTTGAGTTCCCATGCTAAGGGCTGGAGGCTGCACCCTGTCTTGGTTACTTTTCT